CTAATGTTATATTTTTCATCATGCAAGATATTCGTGTAGAGGAATACCCCGGCCATGGAATGCAACCAACCTCAAGCTGTATTATTTCTAGCTTTAGCTTTCTTTTTTGTGTAAAGAAATTTTTTGCCTTACACTTCATGTAATATTCATTTTTGTCAATATATAGAAGTGACTCATCTTTGCCTCAACATTTTTAATGTTGCTTTGAGTTTTGAGATTCTCAACCGAGATGATTTACTCCGGTTGAAAGAGTTGATGTTTTGCTCAACTTGAGATTTTCAATCGAGATGATTCACTCCGGTTGAAAGAGTTGATGTTTTGCCTAACTTGGGTATTCTCAACCGAGATGATTCACTCTGGTTGAAAGAGTTAATGTTTTGCTCAACTTGAGAATTTCAACTGAGATGATTCACTCCGGTTGAAAGAGTTGATGTTTTGCTCAACTTGGATATTCTCAACCGAGATGATTCACTCCGGTTGAAAGAGTTGATGTTTTGCTCAACTTGGGTATTCTCAACCGAGATGATTCACTCCGGTTGAAAGAGTTGGTGTTTTGCTCAACTTGGGTATTTTCAACCGAGATGATTTACTCCGGTTGAAAGAGTTGATGTTTTGCTCAACCTAGGTATTCTCAACCCAGATGATTTACCTCGGTTGAAAGAGTTGACGTGCACAGTTGTATCTACTACCGAGATGCCTTTGCCGGTTAGTTAAGTTAAGCAAGATGGTTAATGTTGTCGAAGTATTTTGTCCGGTTGAGGTTACTCAGCTGACCGTGCCAACACTTTAAGAAAATTGAGCTTGTTCATTGGTGATAAAAATATGTACAAGAGGCGGGGCAGACAGCCCGGTTACATGTGCAGAGCAAAAATAAAGAAAAACTAAGAAAACTACACTAGGGGGGAAAGGTTAGTGAATTCGTCGCCAGCTTTCTCCAGGTTGATCGGTGGGCTTCGATCTCGGACACCGGTCGCAGTTTGGCCGGGCTGCTCCTGCTCTTGGCGGTCCTCTCCCTCAGCATCTTCCTCGGCTGCTCCTTCAAGTCCTTCCTCGGCCTCAGCCTCCAACGCGCTGAAGACGTCGTTGGCATATGGCACGAGATAGGTCGGTAGGAAGACAGTTGGCAGAGAGGCAAACACGTCGGTATCAGGACCTTGACCGAGCTGTTCGCAGGCAGACTTCCAACCCGCTTTGAAATAGATATCTTGGATGGCGAAGACCTGCTTCTTATAGCTGTCCTCGGCCTCCTTAAAGCCGGCGTTGTTGGCGTCTTCGCACTCCTTCTCCCTTGACTCTTTGAGCGCGTTTAGCTCGGCCTAGAGCTCATCCTGCTTTTTCTCGGCATCGCCAAGCTGGCCGAGCAACTTGGTGTTGTCAGCGTTGGCAATCTGCAGTGAGGACTTTGCTCGGCCGAGCTCGGTCTGAAGGCTTTAGACTTGGCTGACAGTGTCGTTTGCCTTTTGTCGCAGTTGATGGATGCGCTCCATGACCAAGTGTTGCTTCTGAATGGCCTGCAAAAAGAAAATTTGATTAGAGTGGAAACCGTGCAAACACTTGTGAAAATTTGAGTAGAAGTTTGAGACTCTTACCCTGGTCATGGACTTCACGGCCGACTTCACCAGCCGGGTGTCTGGGACATGGTCGCTTCCGACCACGTCGCTCGGTAAGAGAAGGGCCTTGGAGAGGTCAAAGGCGAGGAGATGTTCTTTGTCGCCGTTCACGGAGGTCGTTGCCGGGATCTCCTTACCCCAGTGCTTGAGCTGCGGTCGCCATGTCGGTGTTGGGTCTATGGTGACGGTGGGTTGCTCGGTTGTCAGCTCTTCAACCAACTCGGCAGAGGGATCTGCGCGAGGCCTTTTCCCAGCCCGGCGGGCTTCTTGGCTGGCTGGGGATAGCAATGCCACCACGGCACCACTTGATTGACCGGCAGCTTGAGCGCGGGTGACAACGATCGGTATCTCGACGGATGTTGCAATGAGGAGGTTTTTGATACGGCTTCGTTTTGCCATCTCTTCTTCCTCGGTTAACCAGATTAGAGGCACGTCCGGTAGTGTTGGGTCTGGAGGAGGTGACGGAGCACGGAGAAAGTCTGTGACTTTACTCTGGTGTGGAGCAGAGTACCCGTAGGTTGGGGTGTAGCCGAGCAGCTCTTTGCAATCCCGGTGGCTATAACGGAGCACGGCCTTGATGGCTTCTTCGTTGGGATAGTGGTAGTTGG